TTTACTTATAAAAAGATTAAAGTCTCTGAATTGACTGATCTGTTTTTAGATATTATCATTTATAATCACAGTGCTTTAAAATCATTGATAATAGATTAAGAATTTCTCTTCATCAGTAAATACTGATTAGCTTTTTACTATTATTTTATAATAAGATGTCTTCTCAGTACTGTATTTCATTTTTAAATAGATGATCAGACTGAATATCAGAATCAGATACTAGAACAGTATCTTTAAGTATTCTGTTTATATTATTAAAATGATTAACTCAAACATCTTCTAATCATCAAATTCATATATAATAATATAAAGAATGTAATTTTAAAGATATCTTCTTTCTATACTTATTATAAATATAATTCTTAATTACTCAGTGACACTGCAGACAACATTTTAAAGAGAGAAATAGATAGTTAAAATATTGAATAGAGACAGAGAACAGAGTATTTCTCAATATCAGAAGTAAAAGTAAAATTGAAACTTTTAAATAAAATTTATAAGAAGATGATAAAAAGTATTTATTATATCTAAAAGTAGTAGATGAAATACTATAATTAAAAACATCTTTTAATAAAGTTCTTAATAGAGAATCAAGTACTATTTTCAGCAAAGAATATTAAGATAATAAGACTGTATAAGAAGCTCAGTGAGTGATAACTAGAACTCTTCTCAGTAATAAGAGTAATAAATAAGCAGATATATGAGTTGAAATTACTTACAGAATTGAAATTAATTCATTCTGTTTTTTATATTTTCTATTTAAAGCTCTATGAGTAATACTCTGAGATGAAGTCATCTCAGCTAAATAATATCAAGATTAAGAATAATACTGAATATCTTATGAAGAAAATATTGAATAAGTAAATATATTATAGCAAGCTTTAATATCTTGTAAAATAAGAAGATTATTTATTATCAGAGAATTCATGAGAATTACTTAAGTATTTAAAAAATGCTGAGAAAGAAATTACAAGCTATAAGATTACTAGTAGAGATTATCTCATTATATATCAGAGATATTAAGTAAGAAATACTACTTAAGATTTCTCATTTTTTTCAAAGAATTTTTTAAAGATAATCTTATAATAATAAGCTGATATTTTATAAGCTCTGTAGCACTCTTCTTTTATTTTCTCTTAAAGAATTTTTTAGAAGTTTAATAAGACTACACAAGTGTAAAATTTCTGAAGCAGTTAATAAGAAAAGAAAGAAATATTTGAAATTAATAAAGATTAATATTATTAACTTATAGACTGCTGCTATTCTAATAGAGCTGCAGTCTGCTGAAAAAGTAAAAAGAGAGATCAGAGTCTACTTATTAATAATTATACTCTTATTAAACTCATTCTTCACTATTAAAGTCTCTGACACTGATATCTTTATCTGCTGAGAAGTTAGCACTGCAGCATTATAGAGAAGTATACTGTAGAAGAGTATAAGAGATACTGAAAGTATTAACTTATTAACTTATAAAGTATCTTAGTTATCTGCTTTAACTAAAGTAAGATTCTTTTTAATTAGTAATTGATCTCTGTGATACTTTTAACAGCAGTATCAGTTAATCTCTTCTTAAGACTAGTCATTCTGAGATGTTTTTTCATCTTAAAGATTTATACTTTCATCTTCTTTTACAGATGAGTAAGAGAGATCTTCTCAGTCTTAATAGAATTTATCAATACTTAAAGCTCTGAGATTCTCACTCTATACTACTTAGATATCTGAGCTTTTTATCAGAGCTGATATAATATCTTTCTGTGAGATAATACTTATAGAGAGATAGAAGTCATTGTTACAGATATAATAGAAATAATAAAAATAAGAGAAGAGACAGATGTATAAAATCTTCTTCTTCTTCAGCTGCTTAGTATAGTGTAAATAAGTAGTAGTACTAATCAGAGACTGCACTGAAGTCTCTTTACAGAGAGAAGATAAAGAAACTACAGAATTCTGTAAACTTAACTCAGCAGTATTCTGAGCAGAGCTCAGATATACTGTGAAAGAGAAACTATGAATTAAACTTCTCAGAGTTACTATCTCTGAAATCAAGCTCTTTCTGAGTTTCTCTCTGAATGATCACACAGAGTCATACATTACTATGTTAACTGAAGAGAGAGATAGTATTATAACAGTGACAGAAAGAGCAGAGAAAGAATCAGATATAGATAAACTAACTGACAGAAGAAATAACATCTCACTGTAGAGTATAACAACTACTAGACTGACCGTGTGACTGTGTCTGAGATCAGGACCAGATTTTTTGATAGTCTCATTATCAATTCAACTGATCCCATTACACGGTTTTAACATTAGATAGTAGTTTCATACTGTCTCAGTGAAACTTACTGTCTACTCTTATCACATTTTTCAAATGAGACCATGATTTCCACTTCTCAATTTAAATTATTTTTATTACTTTAAATGACTTTAAATCTCATTTGAGTGTTATCAAAAAGTGTTACTTTTTAAAAAATTAAAAATAGTCTAAAAAAAACCTTAAAATGTCTAAAAATAGTAACTTTATGCCAAGAATGAGACTAAATGAAATCAAATGAGATCACTTTCTCATTTTTTTCAAGTCATGATTCCATTTTAAGATCTAATATATAGTCACTTTACCTGTTTTTTTGATAGCCAGTCCCAGTGGGATTCATGCCAAGAAATGTATGAGACTAGATTCAATGGGACCAAACGTGAAATTCATGATTTCAGCGGCCAGTCTAACAACTACTGTCACAGCTGCAAGAGAAGTAGAAGAAGAAGAAGAAGAAGATGTAGTAATAAGAGTAATACTTTCACAGCTTATTAACACTATCATCTCTGCCTTCAACCTGACTTTCTTAACAGTTATGAAGATCACAGCTGTATCATGAAGACATTTATTCACTAGAAAATATCAGAATAAGTTCCTTATTATCTCTTAAGAATAATACTCTCATACACTCACTATTACAGATGAGAAGAAGAGAAGAAAAATATATTATAGAGAAGAAGAATCTTTTCAAAAAATTCTGCTATTACTATTAACTTTGTCTCTAAAATACATCACTTTTATAGAGAATTTCATATATAGAATGAAATATATTAAGAGATCTGTAAGTCACTTATTAACTATATTTTTCACATTTTAAATTAATATATAAGAAACTCACTTATTATATATTTAATTTGAATGAAGATGAGAAAAGAAAGATCTACACAGTCAGCAGAAAAACTCATCTATTTCTTTGTATTATATACAGTATATATGCTATTAAATCAGTTGATAACTGTTATTATATAACAAAGATAATTTCTAATTCAGTAATCTTAAGAGTATCAGAATTATATTCTTAAAGAAGAGAGTATTATTATACTCTTAACTATGTTAAAACTCTGTTACAGTTTCACATAGCTTATTACTTTTATATAAATAATTTTATCTTATCTGAATCAGTTTTCAATCACTCTATGACATCATTCAGATATATCATAGAAAGATTTAATTAATAAATATAAAAACTCTGCTTCTATATAAGATCAGTAGATTACTTTTTCTTAATAGTAAAACACTGCTAAGATATTACTTCAGCTATTCTTACTCATGAAATAAGAGAAGATATCTACTTATTATCTATATAGAATAGCTAGATGCTGACTTCTTATAAAAGAAGTCAGTAATTTATTTTTCTTCTACTGAAATATATATAAGAGTTACTGTATATTTTATATAATTTTCTTAGTATACTAAGTATTACATCTATAATATTCTCACAATAACTCTGTAGTCTACAAGCTTGCTATTTAAGTAAGATAGTTAAGCTCACTTATACAGCTTCTTAAACAACTATCTCTATGTAACACTGTCAGCTAGTCATCACTTTGATTCTGACATGTTACAAGTTATGAAGAAATCAGTCAAGTCAGTCATACTAAAGACAGTGAAGAATTTATTTAAGTAAATTAAGAAAGTAAACACACACTGATAGAAAGCAGAAAATTAAAAAATAAAAAGTATAACTATTATATTAAAAGTCTTGAATATATTTATTAGTTCTGCTAAAAAAGTTAAACTTAAAATTAAGAAGATTAAGTTGAATATTGAAAGAGTTAAATTAAAGATTAAAAAGAAGAAAATCACTGTAAAGAAGAAGAAAATTATTATTAAAAAGATAAAATCAAATATTAAAAATATAAAGCTTGCTATTTAGTAGAAGATCTTAAAATCAGTTAATAATTATTATAAGAATTAAAAAGTAGTAATAAAGAATCTTATAAACTTAATTAACAGTATTAAAGAAAAAGTACAGTGTATTTTTATTAAAGTATATAAAATAATAAACTAATTTAAAATAATTATCAAACTTCTCAGTAATATAGTTGATAAGAGTAGTAGTAATAAGAAATCTATTAATAGTAATAATTCTCTTTTTCTTTCTATAATTCTTATCAGTCTCTCTATTATTACTGTTAATTCTTTCTCTTTTTTCTTCTTTAATCTTCTAACTCTGATAAGTGTTCTGAGTCTCTGAACTTATAAAATAATTACTGAAACAGTAAGTTAGAGTCAGTGAAATAATTCTCAGATTTATTCAGAAGTTAATAATTATATAAATCTTTAAATACTCAGTTCTTAATTACTCTGAAATTCTTACTTATAAATAATGTATAATTAATAAGAGTGCTTCTTAGATAATAACTAGTTCAGAAACTTTAATTCTGATTTATAAATTCAATGAGATAATTGATAATAAAATTATACCTGAAAATGAAGACTAATTCAGATACTTTGAGAGAAATTAAGTAGAAATATAATTAATTTTCAATAGAGAATAATTCTGATAAATGAGATGTTTTTAATAATTAGTGATTATATAGATAGAAATCAGTGACACTGTTAATATAATAATGATTTTTTTCTGTTCATACTCTATTTACTGTGGTTCCACAGTTCATTCACCATTATACTATGATTTACAGTTCGGCGGCCTGTGTTGCTGATTGGCACAGTGGAACAACTATAATCCGGTCGTATAATAAGTCTACATTCTTCCCGTATGATGTTAGTAGCCTACAGATTATGAGATTGTTTAGCGTGAGCCCCGCTGTGGTCAACATGCATGGGTTCAATCCCAGGATGGACTTAAGGATAAAATTCCAAACAATAGTTATCCCAAAAAGATATCTCAGACATTAAAACAGTGCCAAGAGACACCTCAGAAAAAAGGCTCTAGAAGTTAGCCCTTGAAAGAATGAGCCCTAGAAGTGAGTTCAAAAAGAAAGACTGCTGAGAGGAGTCACTAAGAGGAGTCACTGAGAGGAGTCACAGAGAGGAGTACTCTGTGATAGCTGGTCTGAGAGGGGGTGTTGAGGGTCCCGGGTTGATCGGCCCTTCTACCAGCAGTGCGCTGGTGGTGACTGAGCTCTTTTGCCCCAGTAGCCTACAAATTATGGTGTGAACCCATGAAAATTGCCTGTATAGAATACGCTAGTCTTTTAGAGACGGCCAATGTAGCACTGCTGCATTAACTACCATGCGGTTGCATATACCGTTCTTGATTATTGCCCAATAGACCCCTGCCGGAGTGATAGTTGCCTAAAATGTGCAGGGAGGGGCAGAGGAAAAAAGAACAGTGAATTTGGAATAAAGTAAGGGACGGAGTTCTGAAGCTTAAAATCCATCACATAACATAACGATTACCAGTGATTTGAGTTTTCCAACATGTCTGGGACCGCGCAGCCAACATTGAGTCAAGACATCGTCGCTGAGCTGGAGGCGAAGAAAAAAGAACTCGAACAACTTCAATCACACCTAACTCAACTTGATACCTTCATAAATGATCTCCACCTGCATCGCCAGGAGTTAGAACAGCTCTCAACAAGCGCCCGCAATGCCCGGGGCGGCCGCACAGGCGTGACAACACTCACGATTGATCAAGAGATGGCTAAGCATCAGCAAGATCTTATCAATACTTCCGACAAAATTGCCGCAATCGAATCCTCCATTAGGCTCCTTTCACAGCCTTGAACGAATTGCAATGGCTCATCGCGAACGTTCGATCACTTCCGCTGACGTATGATAACGACGTAACAAGCTGCAATGAGCGTGGTCCCGATAAATGCCCAACGCGAATGTGCCATTGTTTGGCTTGACCATAGGAGTTTCAGTGCAAGGTTTTTGAGGCTAGTTCTTAGACGATGCAATGGTTCAGGTGAATTGGCTTTTGGTTTCCCAAGGGTATGGTTTGGATGATTGTTTCCACATCTTTCAGTCTCTTGTGTCTCTCTTTCAATTCCAAGCAGATCACATTCTTTTTCAAATTCTTCAAGATCTTTAAGTTTCTCCCGTACTGCCTCCAACTCTGGCTTGTGTATCTCCAGGCTGAAGAAATCATTCATTCTCTGTTTAAAATGAATTCGGTCATTCCCATAGTAATCATATTCAAACACAGACCAGTAAAGATCACCAAAGTAAAGAGGTTGCAGTAGCGCGTGTGCGATAAAAAGATCAGGAGATCGGAGGCTTTTCCTCCATATTTTGGCCAATGGCAGTTGATCAAGATGTCGGCACTCAGGATGATATTCGCTCTCACGCCGTCTTGTTTCCATTTCCAAAGTAAACAGCATGCTCTCATAGAGCAGTCGATGGGGCATTTTTGCGCTTCCTACCAACTCAAGACCATCAAGCCAGGACGGAGGAATAAACATCTGCACAGGGATTGTGTGACTCCATTCCCAGTCCAACACAGAGACAATATTTAGATCATCATCAACAAGAATGTTGGCAGACCGTAGGTCACCATGCATCAAAATAAACGGGCCATGATTGTATTCAGGCTTTACCCACTTCATCAGAAAGCAACAAGATTTGTGTAAGCTGTAGATGTATGAGTAAGCATCATCTTCACCTATAATACTGTCTCTCCGCCGATAAAAGTCGTCAAGCAAAGCCTGATGTATTGTATAGGCGTAATCTATCGTTGAATGAAATGTTTGATTGGGTGCTATCAAGCGGCATGACTCAATTCCCGCGAGGGACTGATCATTCATTAATACTGAGAGTGGTCGATTGTGATCAAAAACCCAATGCACATCGTCCGCATCCAAAGTCAGGGCGCCAATCCGATCAAACTGATGCTGAAACAGCTGGATATAGATATCACCGAGTTTTGTGAAGAATTGACGCCGTTCACGATCTGAGAGCTTGCGAACTTCCACAGTGAACAGAGACTTTCCTTCGACATAGCTCAGGAGCATAAATGGGAGACCAAGCGAGTTGTTTCGTTTTATTGAATACCCATGTAAGTGTGGGATAGGTATGGTAGTATTTTCCGTGATGAATCTATGATGATTGATTTGTATTAGCTCAAAAATGTTCAGTGCGGATTTAAAACTGCATCCACATTGTAGAGTAAGATAAGGACGGCCTAACTCACTTCATTGTAGCGATTTCACTGCGCAGTTTTTCCTCTGGAAAAGCTAAGCGCGGTAGAATTGGGATTCGAACCATCCATCTCTCATTTGATGTGCTGTTACTGTTTGAATCATTCGTAAACTCGACTGGAAAGCAGACATTAAACCCGCCTTTCTTCACTTCATCAAATATCCGACAGCGCTTCTTCGCTGGATGGAATGATGTTGCTAGCTCGCAGACAGCAGATTGATCAATGGAGGCAATGAAGTCTTGCGCCTCCTTCTTTATTCTATGTTGAGTGATAAGGTCCATTTTCTAGACATAGTCTCTCTTTATACGGCTGAATAGAAGTACAATTCTTCAAGAAGTGTGTGAACCTGATGGGGGATGCAATGACAAGAAAGGGCTTGGGGCCCCGAGATAGATAGTTGATCCGCTCCGATAACGTAATCAACCACCCAACGCCCGCGTACAGCCAACGCCCGCCCAATCTTCATTTTTTCATCCATCTTCAATTAAAGTCATTTAAAGCAATAAAAATAATTTAAATTAAGAAGTGAAAATCATGATCTCATTTGAAAAATGTGATAAGAGTAGACAGTAAGTTTCACTGAGACAGTATAAGACTACTATCTAATGTTAAAACTGTGTAATGAAATCAGTTGAATTGATAATAAGACTATTAAAAAATCTGATTCTGATCTCAGACATGATTACACAGTCAGTCTACTTCAGATTATATTTAAATAAAAAGTTAACTTTGTACTGTTTCAAGAATCAAACTCTAATACTGAGTAAAAGTACATTATTTCTTATTCAAGCTATTACTACTTTCTATCTGAAAAATCTGAGATAAAATTAAGAGTAGTGATTTTATAAGAAATCCCGCTTCTTGTGAATTCTTTACCTCTATTTCTATCTCTCATGTAACTAATAGAGTTAACAGCTCTTGACTATACATAACTATATAGACTGAAGTTCACAACTACTATTCATAACTGTAATATGATAGAACTGAAGCAGCGGCTAGTCAGCAGCATTATATAGAGATAGTTATTTAAGAAGTTATATAAGTGAGCTTAACTATCTTGCTTAAATAGTAAGCTCATAGACTACAGAGTTATTGCAAGAATATCACAGATATAATACTTAGTATACTAAGAAAATTGTATAAGATATGTAGTAACTCTTGTATATATTTCAGTAAAAGAAAAATAAATCACTGACTTCTTTTATCAGAAGTCAGTATCTAGCTATTCTATATAGATAATAGACAGATATCTTCTCTCATTCTATAAGTGAGAATAGCTGAAGTAATATCTCAGCAGTGTCTAGACTGGCTGCTGAAATCATGAATTTCACATTTGATTTCATTTGATCTGATCTCATACATTTCTTGGCGTGAATCCCACTGGGACTGGCTATCAAAAAAACATGTAAAGTGACTATATATCAGATCTTAAAATGAAATCATGACTTGAAAAAAATAAGAAAGTAATCTCATTTAATCTCATTTAGTCTCATTCTTAGCATAAAGTTACTATTTTTAGACATTTTAAGGTTTTTTTTAGACTATTTTTAATTTTTTAAAAAGTAACACTTTTTGATAACACTCAAATGAGATTTAAAGTCATTTAAAGCCATAAAAATAATTTAAATTGAGAAGTGGAAATCATGATCTCATTTGAAAAATGTGATAAGAGTAGACACTAAGTCTCACTGAGACAGTATGAGACTACTATCTAATGTTAAAACCATGTAATGAGATCAGTTGAATTGATAATGAGACTATCAAAAAATCTGATTCTGGTCTCAGACACGGTCACACGGTCAGTCTAGCAGTGTCTCACTATTAAGAAAAAGTAATCTGCTGATCTTATATAGAAGTGAGATTCTTATATTCATTAATCAGATCTTTCTATAATATATCTGAATAATATTATAGAGTGATTGAAAACTAGTTCAAATAAGATGAAATTATTCATATAAAAGTGATGAGTTATGTGAAACTGCAGCAGAGTCTTAATATAACTGAGAGTATAATAATACTCTTCTCTTTAAGAGTATAGTCTTTATACTCTTAAGATTACTGAATTAGAAATTCTCTTTATTGTATAGCAACAGTTATCAACTGATTGATAGCATATATACTGTATATAATATAAAGAAATAGATGAGTTTTTCTACTGACTGTATAAATCTTTCTTTACTCATCTTCATTCAAATCAAATGTGTGATAAATGAGTTTCTTATATATTAATTTGAAATATGAAAAATGTAGTTAATAAATGACTTACAGATCTCTTATTATATTCTCTTCTATATATAAAATTCCCTGCAAAAGTAATGTATTTTAGAGACAAAGTTAACAGTAGTGACAGAATTTTTTGAAAAGATTCTCTTCTCTATGAAATATTTTTCTTTCCCTCTCTTCAATTGTAATAGTGAGTGTATGAGAGTATCATTCTTGAAGAATAATAAAGAGCTTATTCTGATGTTTTCTAGTGAGTAAACATCTTCATGATGCAGCAGCAGTCTTCATAATCACTAAGAAAGTCAGATTGAAGGTGGAGACAGCAGTGTCACTGAGCCGCGGGAGCATCACTCTCATTGTCATATCTTCTTCTTCTTCTCCTGCTTCTCTTGCAGCTGCAGTGATAGTTATCATACTCTGCAGTGAGATGTCATCTCTTCTGCTGATCAGTTTATTCATATCTGATTCTTTCTCTACTTCTCTCACTGCTATTGCAACACTGTCTTCTCTCTCAATCAATACAGTGATATATGACCCTTCGTGATCATTTGAAGAGGACTCTGAAAAGAGCTTGATTTCAGAAACAGCAGCTCTGAGAAGCTCAATTCATAGTTTCTCTTCTATAATATATCTGAGCTCTGCTCAGAATGCTGCTGAGTTGAGTTCACAGAGTTCTGTAATTTCTTTATCTTCTCTCTGTGAGAAGACTTCAGTGCAGTCTCTGATCAGTATTATCACTTATCTACACTATACTAAGCAGCTGAAGAAGAAAGAGATTTTATACACTTATTTCTTCTCTCACTTCTATTATTTCTGTTATATCTGTAATAATGACTTCTATCTCTCTGTAAGTATTATCTTATAGAAAGATGTTATATCAGCTCTGATAAGAAGTCTAAATACTTAAGTAGTATAGAGTGAGAATCTCAGAGCTTTAAGTATTGATAGATTTTATCAAGACTGAGAAGATCTCTCTTACTCATCTATAAAAGAAGATGAAAGTGTGAATCTCTGAGATGAAAAAACATCTCAGAATGACTGACTCTAAGAAGAAATTAATCAGTACTACTATTAAAAGTACTGTAAAGATTAATTACTGATTGAAGAGAATCTTACTTCAATTAGAGTAGATGACTGAGATGCTTTATAAGTTAATAAGTTAATATTTTTATACATTTCATATACTCTTCTACAGTATTACACTACTAACTTCTCAGTAGATAAAGATGCTGATACTGAAGACTTCAACAGTGAAGAATGAGTTTGATAAGAGTGTGATTATTAATAAGTAGACTCTGATCTCTCTTTTTACTTTTTCAGCAGACTATAACTCTATTAGAATAGCAGCAGCTCACAGATTAATAATATTAATCTTTTTATTAATTCTTAATATCTCTTTTCTCTAACTGCTTCAGAAATTTTACACTTGTATAGTCTTATTAAACTTTTAAAAAACTCTTTAAGAGAAAATAGAAGAAAAGTGCTATAAAATCTATAAGATACTGACTTATTATTATAAGATTATCTCTAAAAAAAACTCTTTAAGAAAAATAAGAAGTCTTAAGCAGTATTTCTTACTCAATGTCTCTGATATGTAATAAGACAGTCTTTACTAGTCATTTCATAGCTCATAATCTCTTTCTCAGTATTTTTCAAATACTCAAGTGATTCTTATAAATTCTCTGATAATAAATAATCTTCTTATTTAACAAGATATTGAAGCTTACTGTAATATATTCACTTATTTAATATTTTCTTCATAAGATATTCAGTATCACTCTTAATCTTAATATTATTTAGCTGAGACAGCTCTGTCTCAGAGTGTTACTTATAGAGCTTTAAATAAGAAATATGAAAAACAGAATGAATTGATTTCAATTCTGTAAGTAATTTCAACTTATATATCTATTTACTTATCACTCTTGTTACTGAGAAAGATTCTAGTCACTACTCACTGAGCTTCTTATATAGTCTTATTATCTTGATATTCTTTGCTGAAAGTAGTACTTAATTCTCTATTAAGAACTTCATTAAAAGATGTTTTTAATTATAGTATTTTATCTACTACTTCTGAATATAGTGAATACTTTTCACTGTCTTCTCATGAATTTTATTCAAAAGTTTCAATCTCACTTTTACTTCTGATACTGAGAGATACTTCATTCTCTATATCTATCTAATATTCTAACTGTCTATCTCTCTCTTTAAAATATCATCTGTGACATCACTGAGTAATGAAGAATTATATTTATAATAAGTATAGAAAGAAGATATCTTTAAGATTGTATTCTTTACATTATTATATATGAATTCAGTAGTTAGAAGATGTTTAAGTTAATCATTCTAATAATATAAATAGAACACTCAAAGATGCTGTTCTAGTATCTGATTCTAGTATTCAGTCTGATTATCTATCTGTGAATAAAATGCAGTACTGAGAAGACATCTTATTATAAGATAATAGTAAAAAGCTGATCAGTATTTACTGATAAAGAGAGATTCTTAATCTATTATCAATAATTTCAGAGCACTGTGATTATAAATAATGATATCTAAAAATAGATCAGCTAATTCAGAGGCTTTAATCTTTTTATAAATAGAGATATATCTGACTATCTTTATAAAGTAGTTAATAATAACTAAAATTGAGTCATATTCTTTGACTCTTGTTAACTTCAGTAGATTAACTATGAAATTCATCAATAGATTCTATTATAAGCTCTTTGAAACAGATAGTGATATTAACTCATTATATTACTTATACTGTGAGATCTTTATTCTTTGATAAATATTATAAGTCTTAATATACTCTTTAATATCTGTCTGAAGCTTGTCTTAAATATATTTATATTTTAGAAGCTTCTCAGTCTTCTCTAATCTGAAGTGCTCTATATAAGAATTATTATAATAAATTCTTAATAACTTCTGATACATCACTCTACTATAAGAGATGAAGACTGAATTATTCAGTAATAGAAGTTCATATTCTTCTAGTTATCAGTGACTTAGTTTCTTAGCAGTATTATCTCACTCAGAGTCTGTCTCTTCTAAGTTTAAACTAAATTCTTTCTTCTTCAACTTCTAAATTTAAGCTGCAGTAGAGACATCTCTCTTCTGTAACTTATTAATAAATTTTAAAAGTAGTCAGATTGAAAGATTATAGACTATTTCATTCTTTACTAATTCAATGAT